ATCGACGATTCATTCTACCGGCAATACAAAGCCACGGATTGCAAAATACTTCAGAACTTTTCGATTCTCCTTTGCCTAAAGAATTCGCATATTTAATCTAAACCTACACATTTGAAACTACATGTCCCTACACGCGCACAAACACAGCCTCAGCCTCTCAAAAACAGTTCTCTACCTTAGGCCTCGCGGCACTTATCGACGATACATTCTACCCGCGGTACAAAGCCTCCAATTACAAAATGCTCCGGGACTTTTCCATTCTCCTTCGCCAAATGAATTCGCGTGTTTACTCTCAACCCATGCATTCGAATCCGCCCTACACCCACGCGTCTACAGCTTCAGCCTCTCAGAAACAAAATTGGCCCGCTTCAGACTCGTCGATAAGTGGCAACCCCGTTCACGGCTGTATCGCGTTGTCACACCCTGCGTCGCGTTCGCGAGAGTCACTATATTCGTTCCACCAAGTATACCATCGAAGTCCTGGCGTATGGTAAGTTGCTGTACGGCGAAGACGATTGCGGCGGCTCATTGCCGCGGGACGGCAAACCCTGATAGCCCTGCGGTGGCGTTTGCTGCGACGATGGCGGATGATAGACTCGCGATGCCACGGGCCCAGGGATTCCGCCCATAGTTGGCGTACAGCTGCGCGACCCCCTCGCCGCCGCCACAGGTGTACCCGGCTTGTCGATCTGGAGAGTTTCGTTCAGACGGCTCGGGTTTATTATCGGGCGCAATCAGAGAAAGAGAATTGTAAATTTCACGGTCGAGTTTACGCGAAAGCAACGAGACGTATCGATCCTTGCTGCCGATCGTGGGCGCGTGCTTCCGGTTCAGCGAGTACAAAGGGTTGGAGGAGGGACAGAGCGAGACAGAAAGAGACAGAATGGGGGGGGGGTGAGGGGTGGCGGCTCGAACGATTCCACCCAGCGTCCGTGCAAATTGACTTATCGTAACTTCGCGCGCGACAAATTTTAACGCTGCTGCTCGCGTCGGGTATGCGCTCAGCGGCTCACCTAAACGGGGAGCATCAAAATATCTCCGTTGTTTTCGAAGCCGTCCAAGGGAAATTTCATTTCAGCCTTTTCGCGTTCGAATTGCGTTAAATATTTGTTCGATCACTTTTTTTTTTTGGAAGGTCCATCTCGATTCTTTTTTTTTTTGAAATAGTCGAGTGAGACTCTACAGGGCGAGGCATTTAAAACAGGCTGAAATAGAAAAGAAAGGGTCGAACAAGAATTGTTGAGTCGTTAAGAACGCAATTAAGAGAATTAATGAAATATTTGTGAAGCGCCTCGAAACAATTTCTTTTTTATAAACAGTCAGCCTGTGTAAGCTTGAAACGCTCTATCGGAATGTGTCTAAGAAACTACAATATAATATTCAATTTAAAAAAACAGAGTCGACCTTCAAGTACATGAGTTGTTTTAGACACTTTTCTTTCTATCGCTAAAAATAAGCGATTTACTCAGGTGACCTGTTTTACATGCCTCGCTCTGTATACCAGAGTAACTGGGTTCCCCTTACAGGGGAAATTTTAGCGTTTCAGGGGTTTCGAAAGGGTTAATCGAGATTTGATGTTGGCAGGCAGAGAAAGAAGGGAACCGGACCGATTAGTCGCCGAACAAGCTTGCTATCCGCGAGATCTTACATCTTTACTTTTCAGAGATGGTGTGCTACGAGCGGAGGAACTTCCGCTTCGCGAGGGCGGCCTGTCTTTTACGGAAGTGGAGCCAGAGCCGGAAGTCGGTCCCGCGTGTCCTGGAGCACTCAGCTTCTCCAGGGTGCCGTTCTCGCGTGGATCTGAGTGTTCCCCGTTCGCGTGCGGTGATGACGCCTCCTTTTGTTATGGGGAAAGAACACAACATTTCTATCAAAAAATAGACCCGTTTATCTGGATTATCGTTCTTCCATGGACGAGCGAAATTCTTATCCGCGTAATAATTTCGAATGAATATCTTTTCCACCGATTAGATTAGTTATTTAACGCGTTGACTGCCAGACTAATACTCTTGAAAATTTTATTTACAGGCTATTAGAAACTACGTAATCAAACATTTATTATGATATTTATTTTTGTAATTTCACTGAGATTCGAGTATTGCATTCAAATACATTTTCTTTGACAACCTCCAACACTAATTTCGTTAGCTCTTCAGCGAAAGTAATTGTCACCCATGTGACGCGGCGATCAACGTGTTAATTGCATGTAAAATCTTTCATTCGGTGCTCGAATATAAGTACAATTTTTGAATGAGAAATAAATCTCTTCTTTTTCAAATATATAACGGGAGTTACTTTTAATTTCCAGAATTAGATTTGTATTATCTATGCATTACTATTATTATTATCATCCTGATTAAGTGTCTTCGTTGCACAAAGAGAAGCTTGCCGAAGATTCTGAAATTGAAATTCATATTCGAGCAAAATTAATTTAATTCTACCTCGAGCATTGTCTACAATTGAGTTCTCCTGGGCAACAACAGTAAATAATTCAAACTCCAAAACCTGTTCCGTTTCACAGTGAAGTCTGGAACTCTAATTTAAAGAGTGCCATGCAAAGAGTCGTTCATCTTTAATTCGTTACTCGAAACACGTATCTATATAAGAATCTCCCCTATCTCTGGTTTTCAGCTGGAAAAAAGGTCCTCGATTTTCATCGACTGTACAGGACGCTTCAGCCTAATGAATTCGCGGGCTAAAAATATCGTGGCGAGTGCGAAGGATGTACTGACCTCGTTCGCGACATCCACCACCAAGTCCTGATCGCTCTTTTCTCCGTCGCTCTCCTGAAACAAGAAAATTACGACTGTTCAAAACAAAAAGAACAAATAAACAGGAAACGAAGAAAAGAAAAAAGAAGGGGAGGGGAGAATAAGAAGCGAAACAAGAAGAAGAAGAAAAAAAGGTGGAATGCATTCGAATGCCACGGGGCGGAGGAACGTTAATGCGAGCGCGGTCTCTCTCTCTCTCTCTCTCTCTCTCTCTCTCCCTCTCTCTCTCTCTCTCTCTCTCTCTCTCTCTCTCTCTCTCTCTCTCTGGCCGCTGTAATTCGTACTATCGGACACATTAACGATCGTCGCGATATATTTGCGACGAAACCGAGGCGAGAGATGAGAGGAGGAACTCGACCTATATTCCCAACGCGTCCGACTAGCAGATGCGTCTTCAGAGACATATTATTAATCTTGACACTCGCGCGCACGGCTCTCGAAACGTTCTGATTGCACGGTAACTTAATGGCCGCGGCATTTGACGAGCGCGCAGACACCAGATATAGTCTAACAGCCGGTGACGATTTTACTTACGTCATTTTCAGATGAAAAGAACGCTTTTCTTATGAACGCTTCGTTATTACTAGACTGCGGATTTTGCGGAAACTGATACAACAAACACGTGTTAAATGTAACCAAAAGCTATGTGAATTCGTGCAAAATGGAATCACAATATCGTTATTGTAATTGTAGAATATATTCGGCATACATTATGTATGTTTTATAGTATAATTCGCCATTTAATTATTATTATAAAAATTATCTAAGTATAATTATAATCCGACTGCGGATTATATGCACTTACGACATACAATAATGTATACAAGTTAGGTAAAATATACAATATATATATTGAATATGTATTAATATATATAATTATAATTACACTGCGGATTGTATGCACTTATAACATACAATAATATAGAGATGTTACGTCGTTAAAGGTACATACATACCTTTTGGTTATTTTGATAAGAATTACTTACTTTTATAAGAAAATTGTTCTTTTTATTCGAAAATGACGTAAGTAAAATCGTCACTGGCTCTCCGACTAATACAGCGACAGCTCGCGATTCGTTGGCCTGCGAGCCTCGTCATTCGCGCTTCAGGGATGGAATTTGCTTTCGCGCCGGTTACACGCTATTTTCGCGATCGAATTCCCACGCATCGGTCGCGAGCACCGTGTACAATTTGTTCCATCGTTTTGACGATTCTGATTCGCCGCGATCCTCCTGGATTTCGATACACGTCAGTTTTCGGCCACATTGTAGCATTCAAACAAACGTGAAATTCGCGTACGAACGGGTGTAGCTTCATAGATTGGTGAAATGGTACTTTAAGTGGTGCACAGCGAATGGGATATTTCATTTTAAATCGTGTACGTAATTATAGAATGAAAATACCGTCAAATGCTTGCGACACTTCGAAGTTATGCTGTAGGAAATCTAGGATGTATATATCAATATTGGAATCTTACAAATATTTAACGTACAAATAGTAAATAATTTTAAACGATAGAGATTTTCTTTTTCTAAGGACATAATGTAGATTCGTAATATCATTAGTAACAAATTTATGAGTAATCATTTCAGTATTTACAGGTGACGATTTCCACTGAAACGAATGTTACTATTTTGTAGTATTCAGTGAAATATTTAATTTTTGTGCTTCAATTGTCATTTTTAAATATTTCTTGACAACCCAAAGTAGTCTCAGAAAGAGATGACACCGTATCGCGAGAAACCATGATACTTGGCTAAACAAACGTACACATCACCCAAAACTTTCCAATTCTGCAATATTTCACACAAACCGAAATCAAAACAAATAAATAAAACAGTTCGAAGCAAAGCTCTACTTTTTCCGAGATCCCGCAACCGAAACCTTCCTAACGACTACTCTTACATTTCAAAAACATATTCCTACGAATAATTTATTTTGCTTTCCCCCTTACAAGCACGGAATAAAATAAAATAGACTATGTGCCATTTACTGTTTGAAATTGTACTTCGCTGAACTCTGAAACAGTGCTTGTTTTTGCTTCGCGTATTTGCGTTTTTACACAATACGAATTGTCTGAAACGAGCGTGTATCGAGAACGAAGGACGGCTACGAGGGGGTTAAATTTGCGAATCCACTATTTACCTCGGGGAAAGGGGCAATCGCGTAAGCGTGCGTAAAGGCGGGGGCGGAGAACGAGCAAAATTCACTCGGTGGAGGAACGCGGATAAACAGACGAGCAGACTCGAGCTAATACATTACCGAAAGCCCGGGATAATGTACCGCGACGAAAGTGCAATTCCTGCCTCATGTATCTTTTATCATTTGTTTATCGGTTATTTCCGTATTCCCAGCTTCGTTGTTTGCAACTTGTTTCATTGCTAAACGCGCGAACGCTTACGAAGTAACGCTGACGAACGTGATAGCGATATTAGGGTTGTCCTTACTTTAATGATTGTTTGCAAATACTAAAAAAAAATTCCCTGCAAAATTTAAACTATTAATTTCAACATAAGCACGTGTCTCAAAAACTTTCGAAAGTTTTAAATGGAAAACACGTACAATCTTTATCGATCGGTTATTTTTTTTTATATCTTCGGTGAAAATTGATAAAATGATTTAAAATTTGTCGGATGTATTACTTATAATAATGGGGAACGAGCACTAAAAAATTCAAATTTTTGTCTGAATTATTTCCTTATATTATAACCCAGTAAGTATGAAGCTATTTTCTCTACCTAAAATATTTTTGGAATGTTATTCTAAATGTTTTAAATACATACTGTTCTTAAAAGAAGAGTTTTGATATATTTTTGAATTATCTGAAAAAGTATGTTCGTTTATGGAATTTTTATAAAAACTAATAAATACGTTTATGAGTTTTAAAGCTGATTTAAAGCGTATATGAATACAAATTTTTAAGAATAACGTTGTGACACAACGGAACTTTTTGTCACGAATTTGGTTCTACGACGGAATTCCTCTCCTTTGTTCGAGTATTCTGAAGCACCCGGAACGTTTGGAGAATTTGGAGTTGCCGTAGAACTTGGAGCCACCGGAAGTACCCGGAGGTATCCGGGTTATTCGATGCGAAAGATATCTGAAAGGTTTAAGGGCCCGAGGACCCTGCGGTGAATGAGAAACACGAAGTATAATCGATATAGTTGGAGCACGAAACATATTTAAACTATCTGACATAAACATTTGGATAGCGTCTTCAAACAATTTATTTTTTATTATAGTTAGTTCGTGGGATCTTGAATGATCCTCAATTATAGGCCATTGTATTCATCTCGGAAAGCTTTATCAGAAAATAAATGAAAAACTAAATCGTATCGTTTAAAAAATAGCGTTAAAATTTATATTTCATCTACACGACAACTGATAACCAAAAGTTACAAACCATGCTACCGTAACACGCTAACTTAACTGCTTATAATTCTCTATGAGGATTGATTAAGTAATTGTTTAATGAAATAAAAGGAAAAGAAAGTTTCAACCGATGAAAATCATTGGCTCTATTCTCGTGTCCCTCGAAACCCAACAACTTCAACTGAAACAGTTCTCTGTACCAACATTTTCTTATTCACAACCTATGTTCGTGATTTCTTCGTAACTCTTATCATTATTGTCTAACGTATCTCAAATTTAATCAAATTACATTCAGTCCCTCATGAATATCCCCTTGAACTATCGCACCATTCAATCACTTAAAACAAGAACAAAGATTCCGCGAAATCCCATGCAATCTTTCGTGGAAAATTCACTTGGAAAATCCGTGAGTAAGGAAACTTCGCGCGTTTTTAAATTTACAAAGCATCGTTCGAGGTATATTACAGCAACGATACGTCGCTGAAAAGCCAAGGGGAACGCGGAACGGCGATCGCAACAGGCGCGATACACGTATGAACGGCGTTTCACGTAAGACGATAAACGGTGAACACAAGCGAATGGTAAATAACGTGCACGGCTAGGAAAGTGCAATTTGTAATTCGCGTATCTTTCATCGTTTATTTACCAGTTATCGCTCAGTTTCTACAAGCAGCTCGTTCCTGGTCGCGACCAGCCTTTCGCTACGTGGCGTGTAACGAGCTCAAAGCAGGGCACGCGGGAGCACCAGGGTAAGTTATACGAGCCAAACGTTTTCCCGAGCGTTGCCACCGAACGAGTGCACCCCAAATGTGGCTAAAACGTTTTTGCTTTTTCGCGCGCGCACTTATTGGTTGATCTTTCATCGCGTGCCAATGTATACTCCGTTAACAAAAATAATTCAGGACTTAAAAAAACGTATACCACCCGCTGAACCGAGGGAAAAATTCTGAGTTGACCAGCCCTTTAATATCTTGCGAATACATAATAAAAAATTCCTGCAAAATTGGAGCGTATAATTTTAACATCAACGCGTGCCCCAAACCTCCAAAAGTTTCAAGTAGAAAATAATAATTTGTAAGAGGACCAACATAACGAAGACACTAAAATACGACACGCTTGACACGACTCTGTAACTGTGTTATTTAAATTACACAAGTAAGAATTACACAAACTCCATCTCAGATATGTTTCTGCGAGGAGCTAATTGAATCGCGGCATTCGTTAGGATAATGCATTAATTTCGGGCTTGGGAAAAGAAGATGTAAACACGGTTGTAGCCGGGTCACGAACTTCTTACTATAAATTTATCTTCGCATTAACATTCCCGGCCTGATACGGGCGCGCTTAACCAAACTATAAATAAAGACTCGAAAAGAAGGGAGAATTATGCATCAAGAGGCATTTAATTTTCACGGAAACTTCTCGTAAAGCTACGCACGCGAGCGTAGGTAAACGAGGCACATTTTGTAAGAATTTAAAACACACCGCGGGGTCGTATCGTTCTTCTTTAACGTTGCCAACAAGACGTTCCGATTTTATCGTCGCGAACGAACAACGTAAACTCTGCACAGGAATTTTTTAAATTCCATATATACAATCTCACGAAAATTCCACCTCTTATTATTATTTTTAAAAAGATTCTTTATATCGTTATATTAAAGGCGAAGGTTTACTTCGTATCCATCAAATTTCAACATTTTTAGTTTCCAAAATGATACAGCTACACGTAGAGTGCAATGCAAATCAAAATTGCGTTTCTAAAATTCCGTGATAAAAGTGTGGTTAGAACTAAACTAATGTTCAGTCTTCTATTTTAATAT